TTCTTAAATCCTAACACCAAATACACACCAAAATGCATGTAAGTTTGAGTCTAAAGGGCAAAATAACATGTTTAGAATTTCAACACAATTAACTGAGATATCATTGAGTGAATGAAACAAGAGCAAAATCGGGCTCAAACCACCTAATAAAAGAAAAAAGGAAAAGGAAAAGTTACAATAACTGTCCACTTCTAGGGAACAGACGGGAGTCTAAACACCATTTAAGAGCATTACGGGAATTCCCTTCAATAACTAAGTGTAGACACTATTGTCAACTATAAGCACACAATGTTTAAGGCCCAAAAAGTATGCTTCAATCGCCTAACAAATTGGGAAATGCCCTTTCAATGACCACAAGATTGGACTATTTTCATCTCGTAAAGGCCCCCCCTCCCCAAAACCCGCCTTCACCATATTATGCTTTGCACTTCCATAAAAATTAAGTTTGTATGAACCTATTGGCGGGGCTAACCATAACCATAAGGCTAACTTAGTCAGCTTGCGCCTATTCATCCTCAGGAGGTGGCTGAAATTATTAAGAAAATATGCATTCGAAGCATTTCAAAAAGTCTCAGTAGCTCTTGCCCAATCTGATATTGTTATGGAATTGACATTTTTAAGGTGATCCACATCTCATTTTATTTTCAAAGATTCTAAAATTTCTCTGCTTTCAAATACGCCATAATACTGCTACAGCAATGATCTTTCAAAGCACCCTACCTTCTTTTAGTAGAAGACAAGGACGCCATTTGAAGCATAAGATGTGAGATAGTTTGTGGTATCAAAGTTTAGATAAGACCCATCTCCATATCAATGAAGAAAGATTACAATGTAAGAACATGTGGTCATTTGTCTTTGCTTCTTCTTTGCACATGATACACCCATTAACCGAAATCCTACCCCTCTTTTACAGGTGCTGCACAAAAAGGGTTCTATTCCTACAAGCCAGCTATAAAAAGGCCTGTACCCTTTAGGGAACTTTAAAGGTCCAGACTTTAGGTACACCAAGGGTTTCTAAAAGTATCTATCCAAGCAATTTTATACATATAGAAATTTAACGTGGAAAGAACCCCCGGGGAGTAAAGCACCCTGAGCAAATCTGCATATAGGGCGATATCCTAACCTACTCTTCTATACAAGAGATGAATACTCCAAACCACATTATAGCCTAACAATATCCTTATTAGCAGACCACCTACAAAGATTAGGGTAAGCATACTTCAAAAGTTGACTCCAAATCCATTTGGTAGAGTAGAACTTTGCGCAATCCCCATCACCAACCAATGTTCTAATATAGGACAAACAGAAATCGAACTCGCTCTACCCTTTCAAAACCACAGAGGCATTAACAGGATATGGTTTCGTCTGGAGGCCCGAAATCGAGTGCCATATTTGTGAAATTGGACATTTTTCCGCAAGTGCTAACCCCTTATGGCTAACCTCCACCACCATTTAGTCAAGAGTGCCTCATTAAAATGTTAAAAGTCTTCTAATCTGAAGGCCACCCATCGTCTTAGGCAAGCACAGATCCTCCCATTTGACAAGATGATATTCCTTTGTTCTATCCTCCACTCCATAAGAAATTCCACATTAAGCGTTCAAACTTTTGAATTACAGCTTTAGGTGCCTTACAGAGGGGAAAGTAATAAACTTGGAGATTTGACAATGTTTTTTGAGTTATGAAAATCCTAGATCTGACTATCTATGGGAGGAAGGTTTAAAAAGAAAATTTTGAGCTCCAAAAGTTTTTCTTTCTCGAAATGATTGCCTAACTTCAGAAAACTAGTAATTTCAAGATAGAATAACTCCAAGTTCTTGAAATGTGACATCCAAAAAAATGGATGGTTTGTGTTTAATGCTAAGGTGTGAATTTCCTACATAGTTTTAAAGCATATATCCAATTCTTTCATAGTTGGTCAATGGATTGAGTAGATTACATTCTCAAAATTTGAAGCCATCAAAATGCTCACGAGCTAGTGTTTTTTTTTTGTTTGTTTGGGTAATTCAATGGGGAAGACAGGCCCCTAACCGTTATTTAATTAGTTAATGGTTAATGAAACTGTCAATAAGAATGAAAGCCACAACATGCAATTGCGGTATAGGGTGTGCTACCACCATGACCTCAGCTCTTGTTCCGACTAGCTAGTGTTTTGCTTGAGGCACATACCATCTTCCTCCACAAAATTCAAGGCTCAGATGTGTGCTCGGAGCACATAAAATCTTATTCTTTCTATGAAAAGGAAAACTAAATGCAGCATACAATGAACAATGCAAGGTTTGACTTTTCAGCTATTCGAATTATAATCACCCGATATGGATCATGAATCGTTGATAGCGATCAAGATTCTTCAATATATCGGGATCCGAATGACTCCCACGTAAAACAAGCTGGGTTGGACCAGCTCTATCAGAAAAAACTGAACATGCCACCAATTCACAACTTCCAATATAAATTTATGTTTTTCGATTTTTAGTCTGCAGCTTTATAAATTAAAAAAAAAATTATCCCTACTTGTCGCACAACATTTTACTTTGCATTTAAGAAATTTTTGAGTTCAAACTTATGGGCTCCTCATTGCAAGCCCACTTTCCCAAAAGCTGCACAAGCTATATCGTGTGACGTTCTCGCCCCTTGCCCCCTCTCTCTCTTCTTGGCATCCATCTGCCTCTCTCTTTATATTTCTCTACAAATCAATTTCACGATTATTTATTCCATATAGCTCCTTTTTACTAAAGTCCACTATTAATACAAACATAATTGTTATTTATAGAGAGAAAGAAAAATTTAAATTCCACGAAATGAAAGCTGATTTCCATAAATTTAGTCCATATTACTTCTTTCGAAACTAAAACTCTTAAATTAATACCAAAATATAAAAATAAATTGAGTTAGAGAAATTTATTTGTTATGAGTTACATTTTAAAATTTTTTTTGGCAATAAAATGAATTTAATAGATAACAAACACTCAACAAGGTTCTTTTTGACACTAATGTAAAACTATAATGTATTTGCCACTATTTTTTTTAGAAACCTAAAATATTAGATTTTTGACAAATTATAGTGAGTTTCTGAAATTTTTTTGAGGTTGAGATATGTCGATCTCCGATCTGGATCGCTGCTGATCCGGCCGATTCTTCGATCCGACTGATCTGGCCGATTCTTCGATCTGACACGGTTTTTGGGGTGGTCGATCCGAGTCACCAATTTGTTTATTTAAACCTTGGCATTATGTGTAATATGGACTGCACATATATTCCATACACCGTCCATTTTCATCAACCGAGAGATATGATCTACTACTTTGCTTGAAAGTTAGTTAGATAAACAAAAAAAATGTGAATAAAACCAGACTTAGGGACGGAAATCAGCCCATGGCCAAGACCAGTAACTCGGGCCGAGTCCAAGTTACTCGGGCCTAGTTGGCAGAGTTCGGCCAAGCAAAAAAGTATTAAAAGTAAAAAAGTACGAAATAACTCCAAAAAAAAAAAAAAAAAGTTAAAGTAAAATTAAATAAAAAACATGTAAATGAGGTTAAAAAAGGCATAAAAACATAGATTTTGAAAAAATAATTTGAAATGGGGTATTTTAGAAATAAATAAAAAATACTAAATACAAATATAAATATTAATAGCCAAAACATTCTCCAATCTTTAAGAAATAAAAAAAAAAATTTACAAATACTTGCAAATAAATTTTTAACTTTTAAATTTGAGTTATCTTAGGGTGTTCACACTGTGAAGTAATTTATTATTAGACTCAATAAATTTGGATGTATATATACCCATTTTTTGTACATGGAACTTTATTTTAGCAAAGTTATTTTTTATCATTAAGAAGGGTGTGACGTCTACATGGACGTGATATCACCTATACATGTAATGTGGTCCATGTGGATGATCATACACCCGATCATGGGGATGCTGTTACACTCTCTTAATGACAAAAATATCCTTACTAAAATATGCTCCATATACTACAAAATAAGGGTATAGAAGAGAGAATGAGAATTGAGTAAATTGATTTGTGAGAAAAAATTGTTTTTTAGTGGATTCCTATTCAAATCTTATTCTTTTCTTTTTTCATTATTATAGTCCTCTCAACTTTTTTTTTTTAGAAAATATTTTCATACCCTCTATTTATATATTTCATTTCACAATAGACCCAAGGCTTTAAAAGATATCTTAGAGTATAAAAGTTGTAGACTTTATTTTTTCTAGCCCCTGAGCTAATTTAAATGTGTTTTTTTAGGTCAAACAAATCTAAAACGACATGTTTTTCCTAAAAGCCATAATCTCTTATAGAGAGAAAAAAAGGCTTCATGGAGGTGAGGTGTTATCGAGAGGAGAGAGAGAGATGTTTGGAGAAACACACAACGAGATAATAAGTGAGAAACAAAAGAAGGGAAAAAAAGATAGACATTGGGATTATATAAATGATAGTGAAATGATTGAGTTCAAAAGAGTACTTCTTTTTCTTTTAGAATTCGTTCAGGTTAAAAAATAGGTTTAAAGTATCTCGGTTAGAAGATATCTTTTGAACCCTTAGTTTATCTAAGGGTGTGTGGTTTGTATAGAGCCTAGGCTTTAAACAATCAAATTAGAGCCTACCTTCAAATAGTGTCAAGAAATGTGATTTGAATATTGGAAATCTTTGTGATAGCCTTAAAATATATTTTTCTATTTATTTATAAAGTTTAAAACTTCAAAAATAGTGTGGATTGACATATATATGAAAACTTGAAAATCGACAATCAAAAAATGCATTACAAAATATATTATTTCTAAAATTTGAAATCTATTTTTTTCTCATGTCCATACATATTGACATCGAGATGATTAATTTGAGGGTATTTGAGCATCAAAATAAGCGAAATTTTTGAGGTAGGCTCCAATTTGATGGTTTAGAGCCTCGGCTCTATATCAGCTTTTCCTGTATCTAAACACTAGATATGGAGATTTTTTTTTTTTTCCTTTTTACTTTTACTATTAAAGTTACTTTTTCTCCCAGCGTCAGAAGCCCAAAACTAGGGAGAGAGGGACCGGGAGAGAGGGACAGAGAAATATTGCAGAGATGCCTGTGAGAGTGGTGGACAACACACAAATTCCGCAAGTTTCAGGTACACCGAAACTAAATTTCTCTTCTTTACATCCTTATTTTCAAGCTCATTTACCATGATCTCTCAGTCTACAATTCCAGCTATCCGGAATTCACGTTATGTTTCACTGTGTTAATTCGTTGCATATTTCTTTCTGGAATTTTCGTAGAGCTTCATACCATGGAGTTTACGATCATGCATATATTGTCTGTCATAGAAATTCTACTGTGCTTTTTTTGGTAATGCCTCGCGATTAGTTATATTCCGTCTTTCTCCCAATTTTCAAATAATATGGGACGCTGAGGTGCTGAATTATGCACCTTTCTTTTCAGTGCTAAAGTCGTTTCCTTTTGATTTTGACTTTTGAGATTCAATTGTTTTTCTTTTACGGGTTTTTCTGTGATTGAAGCAACTATTACCAATGTAATTCTGAAGAAATTGGCGTCTGATACGGTTTGCAAGTCTTTATGATATATCAAACACATATTTGCAGAACATTCGAGGGCATTATTATGAAAATTTTCATGTCAATCTCCATCTTTTTAGAGCGACTGGTATCTCCCCACTTTTATAGGGAGGGAGGTATCCACGAGATGAAATCCTTTGCAGAAACGACTTTTGACGAGACTTCCACACTAAAAAAAGTTCACAAATTTGGATGTTTTGTGTTTGGATCACCAAATGTTTTAGGAATGTGTTTGAGCCATTAGAATTTGGTTATTTCTTCTATGGTGATTGGGGTTTATGTGGGCTTTCCTGATACCATACCTCCTTTTCCCCAAGTCCTTGAGTATGGGTGTTGCGGTCTTTAATCTTTTTGCCTGTTGTTTCTTGCCTATGGAAGAAAAGTTTTTATGCTCACTGGTTACATTTCGGGGGTTTGGATATGGAAGGAGAGTAAAATATGATTTTTAATGGTTACCGTTGATATCTTGTGATTTGTAATGGATTAGTAATTTTTACATAGTTGGCAGAAGTAAGGATTGATGAGTGGTAGCGGAACCAGTATTGGGTCATTCAATGTTATATCCTCCCAATGTGCTTGTGTAAGAAAATTTAATTTTAGCTCAAATGTTAACTTGATAGTTAGAAGTTATGCACTTATGCTTGTGGCTAGATGCATATGCGAGCAATGGTTTGTTCTTGAACTGAACTTCTCAGATAGTTCGGTTGGATCGGGGGTGACTTTCACATAATGTGTACTTAATATTAAGGGTGATATTCGATCTTGGCGAGGCTTTACAAATAATTATTTCACATGTCCATATAGAAGCTAATGCGGTGGTTGCAAAGTTTGGTAGGCAAAGGCTTCCCTTGAGTATTAAGCTTCTTTCCTCGATGACCTTGGGGCTTTGATCACTCTATGTGCCTGTGTTGTTGTGCCCGTTCATGCATTTCCTGCAAAAGAGAAATTAAGAGCCCTATGTTAAGTTTGTTGTAACCGGTGTTACATTGACGCTTGTATGGGTGTCAGCGTCTAGTATGTTTACCGAGTGTCTGGCATGTTGGCCCAGAAACCCAGTATGGCCCAACAATTCCATACAATTCTCTATAAAAACTTATGTATATATAAATTATATAAAAATTCCTTATAAAAAGTTGTATAAAAATATTGAAAGGAAATTATGGAAAATTAAAGCAATAAAAACATAAAAATAAATACTAGTTGATGGAAACTAATTCTATAAAGGTTTGAATTTTTATTCATTCAACTTTAGAATGGTGAATTTTCAGTTTTCACCTTTACAAATAACAAAGTTTTCCTTTCTTTATAAGTCACAAATCTACAGGGGACTGCAGTGGTATATCACTCTTCTATCAACCAAGAGGTTCTGTGTTTAAGTGTCATGAGAGACATTAAATTTTCAACTAACACTTCACAGGTCTGTTGTTTAAGCTGACAACTCTGACTAGGAGTGTTGACACTGCCTGTCAGTCCTCCAAGGGGCAGATATGGACGATGTGTCTACCCTGTGTCATATTGATGCCATGGCAAAACCCAGATGTTGGGGTAACATGGTTGCAACTTCCTGTGACCCTAATTGGGAAGCTTACTGAAATAGGTCATTGCCATTTTCACTGAAGTTCATGAAAGACTCAGGGGTTAACAATTTAGGATATTTAGGATAAATACAATTCTCAACTATAATTATGTTCCCTATCCTATGCAATACCAAAGAGATGATCAAATCTCACAGTAAAAATGTCAAACAAGATTTAGTAGATTCATAATCTTTTTCTGAATTAACAGAGAATTAAGCATGTGTTTGGATGCTTATGTGGCTGAGTTTGGTATTTGACCTCTTGTGAAGTCGCATATTATATAGTGTCAAGCCTTATGTGGCTTTAGCAATTGGTAGGCATGTATAAATTAATAGTCAGTTCATCTTTTAATATCATTATTCCAGTTGGGGTTTGTATCATCTCATCTGCCTTCTCATTTCATTTATTATCTGCATTTAATTTTGATGCTATTTATGATCCATATTATTTTTAGGTCGCTAAGAGGAATGCACCTTTAAGAGTTGTATACCGTACTTACCTAGGAGCCTTTTTAGTTGCATTTTATCTCATCTAAGTGCCAATTTCTATGAATGAATTTCAAATACATTCCATTCAATCATCATATTGGACTTTGATTGAAGTAAAGGACTGTTATGTAGCCTTCACTAGGAACTGTATTGAAGTTAAGGACCATAATTTTACCTTCATTAGGAACTGTCAGAAACCTGGTTTCAATTCCTTTTTTCTTTAACCATTTTATTGATTATAATGCCTTTGAACCATATTACCTTTATTATTTATTTTATGGTTGATATTTCCACTCACCATTGAATTCCATTCTGACATTAATGCTCTCTAACTTGTCAAGGTGTGAATTCTGGATATACACTCTCTCCTTGTACACTTCTGAGTGTGGGACAAGTAAGTTTTTGCATTCATTACACCATGACAAGCTTTGATATTCCATCTCGGAAGACATACTCTTCATTCTGGTAGAACTGTTTATTGCCTTGCCTAACCTTTTAAGATCATTTGAAATTTAGGTTTGAAACGGTTATGAAACCTAGTTGCACTAATGTTTATCCCTTGCTTCAGGCTTTTGCTGGTACTCAAAATGTTTCGAGCATTCAAAAAGAGGAGGCATGGAGGGTGAATGTGCGAATCCAGGGTTGTGATCTAGATCATGGCTACCTATGTGGCACTATGGAAGCACTTAATGTTCCATTGGCTGAAACGCCAGTAAGATCCTTTTTTTAAAATTATAATAACACCAGAAAAAACCTGCCTTTTTAGTGGCATTTCCCCAAAAAACAAGTGGTTTTTTTTTTCATTTGGTTGGTAAATATTGCGTCTGAGAAAAAGGGTAGGTTAGCTTGGTTTGTTTTCGTGGCGAACTTCTACAATCAGACCCTTGGCCTCGATCTTACAAACTAGGGGTGTCTACCACTGGGCAAAAGCCTAAGAGACTGTTCCATTTGTTTTCAAGGATGTTATGAGTACTTCTTTTCAACATAGTAGTCTGTTATCTCAACTAATACCATGCTATTGAATAGTAGGCCTTCTAATAAACAGTAATAGAAATAACATTAGCATATAGGAAGTTATGAGGGAGCCTGTCTCCGTTTCTGGGTATTTCATATCTCTTCTCTTAAATGCTGGGCAAAGTATACTAATCCCACTGGATTTGAAGGAGTCCCAAAATACCACATGTTTAAGAATACTCACAAAACAATCATTTTTGGAACATAACCAGTGTATTCCAGACTGAAATGAAAGGGACAAGAATAACCTCACCTTTATAAAATCTCAGCAAACAGCAAGTTCTAAGTTCTCTCTTTATTTATCCATCACAAACCTCGCTGTCTCACACAGCATCGCTAGGCAGCCAGCAGGTGGCACTAAAAGATGTCTTACCTGTTTCTCCTATGTCTTCACTGTGATCTCTCTCTCTCTCTCTCTCAGTTTAGTCAAGTTGGTCTCTCCCTCTATGTTTTCTAACTATGTTAACGACTGGGCACTTCTATCAACTTTGAAAAAGTCATGGAGTAGTCTGGTTAAAGAACCAAACCCATTAGCAGTTTGAGAACTTTTATAGTGGGTTAGTACATTATTGAAACAGTTTTGTTACAGAAGAAAATGAAAAACTGTTCCCACCATGGTATCTCAGGTGGTCCAGCATGGGACTCCAATTAGAAACGCTGTTTTCTATATATCTTAGGATGAGCATTCATAAAGGAGTATTTATTTACTCTTCAATTGTTATGTAACATGCTTAAGCATGCTAATTTTATTTTTGGAAGTCTCAATGCCCAGGTTCTTAAACAGTTCAATTCCTCTGGAATCTAACCTTTAACCATGGGTGTTTCTTATTGCTTTTTGCAGGTGGTGACTTTTTGGGAGGGAGAGATTGTTGATAACAAGAATTACACCTTTTTTACTGGAAAATGGGACGCGAAGTATGTTTTTCTTGCTCCCTTCGAGCCTCATCAATGCCTTGATTGAATCCTTATAGAGATTATAGATGGGATTTTACTTAAAAGAACATATACTAAGGGACAGGAGACTTTGTACCATTTCACTTTAATGAAAACTAGTAGAACTGAAAACGATCTAAGTTTCTTTAGTGTCGGGCAAGTTAAAGGCACAGAACTAAAGAGCATTAGAATTTTCTCTTTGTTTACTTTAATTTCCATTAGTTCCATTATATAAATTACTATTTTTCTTTGATGCCATGCATTTTATTTGCGTTTATATTTCCTTTGACAGGCCAGACAATGATGTGAGACACTGGTCCAAGTTTCAATCCTTCTCTCCCCTTCAGGTGAAAATGTAACATCTTTGTCACTGAACAAAGCTGTTTTTAGTTCTGGGAAAGAATACTCCAGTGGACTGTGTGATACTTCATAGGTTCATCATCATCCTATGAATTGGTGGACAGTGATGGAGAGTGTGGATCCACGAGTTTAAGACATGGCCTAATTGTGTATACCACTTTCTCCTTCTCTACCGGCCGTCATCAATTTATTGGATGGTGATGAACTTAATGAACTATGGTCATCCATGGTCCATTGGTTTATAGGATACTTTAGCTTGGTTTTGTGGCTTTTCTTGTCTCTCATCTTCTCTATCTGTATGCATCTAGAACCAAGTCGAGGCTGATGGTGGGAAATCATTGGACCTGAGTAATTATCCTTACATATTTATGGTAATTTGATTTAGTTTGGCGTGCTACATCAGAAACTCCCTTTTCATTAAAACAACAAATGAATTGAGCTTGAGATCATATTTCTTTTGCAGAGATGGAAGGAGCTGTATTTTGTGAATGTTGGGAAGGATTGTGGGTTAACCATTGCAGGCTTCTACTATGTCTGCTTCTCATGTAGCGATGGTTCAATTAACGGATTCTATTATGATCCTAATAGCAGGTATATATTTCCATTTTTTATTGAATACTAGTTACATGGGTGTTCTTGATCTGTAAGTATATTATGTATTGTTGCTTTAAAGTAGGTTATATAGGTAACTTGTTGCTTTGTTATTTCTGCATTTGCTTTTGAGTGTTTTGGTGTCATCTTTTTGTTAAAAAAAAATTCTTTTTTATCCTTATCATTTAGAACTATTGTCTTTGTCTGGGAATAGCTCTCTTAAGCTGCTGGATGGAAACATGATTCAAAAAACCATGAAAATGGTGGGTGTAATGGCTGTTATAGCTAAACAAAAAGTTGGCTCTTTCAATAGAACAGTGTCTCCCTGGTACATTTCCTGAAAGCACGTGGTAAAAGATGGATATATCGTGCAAGATACCCACTATGAATAATGAGGGATATGTTTTATATGATAAGATATACAATACTTGTTACAAGTATTGTTTCGGATGCCCAGACTGGCCATCTGCTGTCCAATCTCATCAATCAACGTTGGTGATGACCCATATTCCTGTGAGGGAACTACGTCCTCTCATGGAACAGCACAGAGCTCCACCTGCTGTTGAAGGTACAGATGATGGATGGTGGGTTAGAGGATCCCTTTCATTACTCATTGGGAATGTAATATCTCTTCCCTTTTTATGTATAGTGGTTGGCATGTAATGGTGGAATGGCTTCATAAAGTATTCAATAGTTGATAAAAAACAGTTGATGGCTTTTATAATGCCTGTTGTATCCCTCAGGCTTCAGCTTAGTGGGTAGAAATACCATTATGGTTGAGAGGTCAAGAATTTCAACCATTGAAGTTTGTTCCAGTTTCCAAAAAACTCAAACAACCTGATCTATCCTTCTTTCTTACCCCAAAGAAAACCCAATCAGAAAGAGTGTGACATCCCCTCTTCTCTCTTAAATTCTCACATCCTATTCACTGATCTTTTTGTTTCAATTGAACGTTATAAGGTTCCATAGTTTGAAATTTAAATAAACCAAGTAAATTCCAATAAAATATATGCCTTTGTAGCTTCCTACTTTAACGCACCTAAGTTACTTAAAAAAAACCCAAACTATCATGGGCAGTTATCTCCTTCCATTCTGACTTGATAAGCATTTCTAACGTACCTAAGAATAGATATTTTGATATCTAAAATTCAAAGAAAAATATGCCCTCCATCATTCTGTTGAGCAACCCATTTCATAAAAATCAAGTTTTTAAACTTAATATTGTCAATTTGATATTTTAACTTACATAATAACAATAAATTTTCATTTAATGGTAATTTATGTTTTACCACACTTGAGTAAAAAACTGTTTCTGCGATACCAACAATATTGATAATGATGTTTGATGCACGTTATCTTTTAAATTTTAAAAAGTCATACTTCTCTTTATTTTTACTTTCATGACCTTATTAAGATGGATTTTCTTTCAACCATTGTTTAAAGATCTTAACAATTCCAAGATCCTTATTTCAAGCTATCTTTATTTTATAATTTCTATATTTTCAATCCAAAGTTTGTAATTTATAGTAGATGCTTAATGCACTTAAATACATGTGCAAAGCACAAAAAGGCCATGGATTATGATTTGCAGCTAAAAAGAGAAGAATGCATCCTGGTCTCATTCTCTGCGAGGGTTTTCGGCACCAAGGCTTTCTTCTTCAAGTAAGGTGGTTGTATAATGCAGATAATGGACAAATTATGGAAAGTAGTGGGTGTCATCTCATTTCGAACAATTAATCATGATGGATGTGTGTGTGTGTGTGTGTGTGAGAGAGAGAGAGAGAGAGAGAGAGAGAGAGAGAGAGAGAGTGAGTAGAACGTGGTAGGTGGACAAGTAGGTAGGTTATTCGTTTACCTTATTCTAGTAGTAAGTAAGGTAAAGTTAGTAGTAGTCGTACTAACTTATACGT